AAATTGTTTTAACTGAATATAGGAATAAATTTGTCTACTGGAATAAGGAAAAACAACCTAATTCTAATGGAATCTGTGCTGAAATACGAAATCTGTGCTGAAAAACCAAAATCTGGAAGCATGTGCAGAGAAAATCAAAGCATGAAAAGTTGCAATTGTTTGAGTAGGGCTGGCCGTGTCCTCCTTCTGTGCTGAAGTTCCCTTTTTGTTCCTCTTTGTGCCGGCAGTTACTCAATCCTAGGTAGTTTGTTGGAGTAGTATGACACCTCACCCTTTGACCTAGTCTAAACTCCTTTCAGATTTTGCCACCTGAACTTTATCAGATAAAATCTCCTTTTTAAATGTGATCCTCCCCTATCTTGCCAACTGCCATTATCTCTTTCTGTTTCAAAAGATAATTACTCAACATTATCTTTATCTCTCTCATCTTGCCAACTCACGTGCTGATCTGTCATGGGGCCCAGGATCTGAATCTGACATGGCTCAAAACTCCTCCAGCCAATAAAAATTTTACACGTGGCATTAATCTAAAATTTTGCAATTTATGGTGTAAACAATATCAATAAAATCTAATTTACATTCATTATTAGGTTTGTTGGGAAAACCAGCACTCCAATCAACTAAACTACTGCTGGCAGATTTATTGCCATCAACGAAGCTCTCGTATCCAAAAGGGTTATCCTACAAAGAAGAAAGCAATACCAAATGTAGGAAACAAGTAACCATGACATGGCACTTGGGCGTTTAACCCAGATGGAAGGCACAGGTTAACAGCTCCTAGAGGCTCAAATCCCATCCCTCCCCCAAAAGGAAGTAACCATGCAATGCATATGAACTGTGAACTCTAGTTTTGAGAGTTCATAAAGCAATACCCAAAATACTTACAGTTTATTTTAGCACAAAAGAAAACATAACGATTCATATATCTCATTTTTATCTCGCATGGATAATAGCACAGTCTCTCTCCCTTACAATTTTAACCTTGGATGGTGCCCTTTTGCAATAGGGCGTTTTTACTTCATGAACTGACACAGAAAAATTGCCTAAGATAGGTGCAGAGCTGTCTGTGAGAGTTGTTTTAAAATTTTTCAGTTTAAAAAAGAAAATAACCTGTCACTAAAATTGTGAATTTTTTATAAAAATTTATAAATTATTTTATTAATTTTTTTATTCTTAATCATATTGTTTATAAATCCAAATAACACTAAACTTCACTTTAATCATGAACACAATTAATGAATTGACAAAAATAATAATAAAATAATTTAAAATTTTATTACAAAATGAGATCAGAGAGTCAGTTTTAAATTTAAAAATTTTTCACTTTAAAAAATAATAGCCTAACAATAAGCCAATTTTATACAACACCATTATAAAAATAAGAAAATAAATACCATTTCTTAGTTCTGAAATGGGAAAAACACAAACATTATAACAACAGATTACCTTTTTTCCCAATCCCGTCAATTCAAAATAGTGAAAAAAAACACCATTTGGCGTTTCTTTTTTCTTTTCTTTATCATTGTTTCAAGCAATAAATAGCTGCAAAAAGAACAAAGTGAGAGAATAAACGAAATTGTAATATTCAAGTAAAGAACAAGCAAGCTCAAAGTAAAACTCAAATTATAGTCTTTGAAAAATCTCTTTTCTAAAAAAAAAAAAAAAAAAAAAGGGTTAAAATTTCGCCACATTATATCCATAGTTTAGTATCTTCCTGTACCCCATTTTTTGTTCGACATAGAATGCAAATTGCGATGAATTTAAGTAGTAAACTTAAAACCCTAAATATATAGTAGTATAAAAATCTTGAGGCGACGCCTAGTTATCAATGAAAAAATAGTCCAGATAACTAACAAAAACATCTTGGGATACATGATGCAGATCCAGATAAGAGGAAATAGGCCATAAAAAAATAGAACGAAAAGGAAATGTAGTGAAGTGGGCATACCTTACTAGATCTGTAGTTGTGGTTTGTAGATCTAGATGAGTGTAGATGCCACTGACACTACAGATAGGGAGAGAGGAAGAGACTATCACTGCTAAGTTAAGAGTTCGGTCTTGGGGAATTATATAGTCTTTGGAAAATCTATTATCTGAAAAGAAAAAATAATTCAAAAAGAGGTTGTTTTCTCCACATTATCTCCAAAATTTAGTATTGATTTCGATCGATTTAACCACTAAATCCAAAACCCTAAAATATCAGTGCAAAAAATTTTGAAGCAAGAAGGTCGTGTGGTTCAAGTGATTACTTAACCATTAGTTAAATGGTATTTTATTTTGGGTGTGAGGTTCAATCCACATCCCTTTTCACATTCTCCCGTTATGGCCGTTGCTGCTCAAAAGGACAATCGGTAGATTGCATCCTTATTCAGGTTCAGTACCTCTCATTAATAATTTTAATCCTATTAATCTCTAACCATGGTTCTTGTAAAAAAAAAAAAAAATCGAAGCGAAGCCTAGTGATCAATGACAAAATAGTCCTGATATAATGTAAGCGGAATTAAAAAGTAGCGAAGTGGGTATACCTTAATAGATCTGTAGTTTGTAGATCTTCAAGTAGAGAATTAACGCCACCGAAACTACGGATAGGAAGAGACGATCTGTAGTTGCCTACTGACATGACTGCAAGTTCGATTTTTTGTTCCGTAATGGGCTTGGAGCTATTTATCAAAAAAAAAAAATGGGCTTGGAGCCTGGGCTTAAAACTTTAAATAAATTAAAGACTTTAGGTCTATTCGGCCCAAAAGGAAATCCACTTATAAATTATTTTTAATTACTTTAAATCCACTCGTAAATCTTTTTTTTATTTTAAATCCACTTTTTTTTAAACAAAAATAAAAGGACAATGTCCTCACATTTATAATCTCAAGATGTAGAGTCATAGTTACAAGATTTGCGAGACATTGTTATATGATTATTTTTTTTAATAACAAGATATTTTGTTTTTTATTTTTAATTAATTTATTTATTTACTTCATATAGCTTTTTGAATTTTTATTTAAATTAGATTTAAGGTCAATTTATGAAATAAAGAACACAATTATTTTAGAGGATGCAATATTTTGAATGACAAGATAGTTACAAAATGAGACATAAAAGCATCTCCAATTTACAAAATACCACATCATCATCACTAATATTTTTTTATTAAATCTATACAAATATTACCTTAAGTGAGACTCTCTATTCTAATCTGATACTAGGACCCGGAAATAGTTATGACCACATAAACTTATTTTAAGACCACATAGATATACAATAAAATTATTTAATTTGACTAATTTCATCAATTTATAATTAGTTAAGATGTTTATATATATATAAAATTTTAAATTATTAAATAATAGATATCAACTATTCAACAAATTAACAATTAACAATTAACAATTATAATATTAACTATTTAGCATAATCAAATCAAACATATGTATAATTTTTATGTAGCCATAACTATAATCCTCCGACCCAAACTAAACATCTCAAAACTTACACTAAAAATGGGCCCTGAATTAGGGAGAAAAAAAGATCCAACATCAACCAAACGGGTCAGCGCGCGTTACCGAGGAAACTCTTCTCCAATCGGGAAAGTGTTACCCATTGGAGATGCTCTAATGTTATATGATTATTTTTTTAAAATATGTTCTGGGGCTCTATGATCAAACCCAGGCTGCAGATGATGACACAATAATGTGAGCAGTTATCATGAACGTTTCCACACGCCCTCCTGCTAGTGAACAAAGTCCAATTCCTGCCTTCAAGGCTAACACCTCTTCTGATATGTCTTAGAACTTTCTTGTTGGTTTCTCCTTTCCAGTATTCAGCGGCCTTCTTCCATTGACTGGGTTCCTCTATGGTAGCATGCTTCCATCTCCTGGTTCTTAAGAACTTAAACTCTGGTAATCAAGTCTTATAAACTTTATTGTAGCAGCATGATCAATTGCGCTCTTATCTACTTCACTAGGTGTTGAAAAGGGCAAGACCAAGGCTGTAGTCGGTGCCAATGAGAAAAAGGAGAAAGTGGTCACCGAAAAAATCAGCTCTGACTCCAACGATAGCAGCAGCGATAAATCGAGTGACGATGACACCACGTTTAAGAGTGAGAATGGTTTTGAACAGAGGGGCAAAAATGCGGGTTTTCAAGACAGCATAGACATAAACAGAGCTGCCCCTATGTTAATGGAACTTCCCATTGCTATGCTTGTGTGCGCCCGAATCGGTGCTGTTCACTCGGTACTCACCCACCCCAAATAAATAAGCGTGTTACCTAATTTTAACTTCTTTCCTTTGTTTCTCAATAAATGACCCTGGTCCAGGTTGTATTTGCCGGATTCTCTGCAGAATCTCTTGCTCAACGAATTGTGGACTGCAAACCCAAAGTTGTCATTACTTGCAATGCTGCTAAAAGAGGTCCTAAGATGATCAACCTTGAGGACATTGTTGATGCTGCCCTTGTTGAATCTGCCAAGAGTGGGTAAACCTACCTAAACACTGTATAATCTAAGCTTATTCAACAATTTTTTTTTCCCTAATTGAGTAGCTCCTAATTTATTTTGTTTAAGTTAACATTTTTTTTTTTAGATAATCCTCTTTCAGATTTTTAGGACAATTTTGAGTTTGTTTAATTCCGCTCAATGTAAGTGGAGTTTCTCTGGAGGGATAGTTGAGATTTACTTATCAAGTTTTTCCCTTTTTTTCTTTACTTTTCTTTTCTTTTCTTTCTCTCTCTCTCTCTCTTTCCTTTTTTTCTTTTTTTTTTTTTGGTTTACACCTTTCATGAATTTAAGATAAAGTCATAATCCAAAAAAACATGCAAGGCAAACCAGAGCATCATCAAATTTGAACAAACTCACTAACGTTGTGTTGTAAGGCATTTACCATTATGGTAATTACTTCTTTTCCCTTTTCTTTTTCCTGGGGTCATTCGTTTAACTGCTTTGGTATTTTATTTGACTTGTGATCATTGGTCCTTATCTACCAGTTTTAGTTCATTTTGTGGTTTTCTGATTGTGTTTATTTTCCTTTTGAGACTTTGGAACTGGTCCTTTTTGAAAAAATACATTGAGGTCATTTTGTTCTTGTTTTGATTCAGGACGAGGGATCTGAGTTTTAGAGAAAAAAATTGGAATCAGGTGAGGGTTTATGATTTTACTTTAAGAAACTAAGTAACTGTTTGGTATGATTGGAATTTTTAATAGAATTTCTGTTGAAAATAAACTGTTCTAAAAATACTGTTTTTGTAAATAAAAAAAATAAAGATAAAGTAAAAATAATGTGCTAATTTCATTAAAATCCCAATGAAAAGCTCTCGCAAAAGCACAAATTCGGTGTTTATGAGATTTGCAATGAAATGGACAAAAGACTAATTTGTGAGAAGTTATAGCATTTTTCACAAGTTGTAGTGTTTGGTGCAACTGGAGCTTTTGGAGTCCAAAAGGATTTCTCACCAGCTGTACCAAACATGCACTAAGTAGACTGCAACTTGTCCCAAGTGCTTTCGGTTGAAGTTCTTAATTTTCAGCCGTTTAGATCTGCATTTTCCTTGATTTGATTCGGATTCTAGAGGACGCTTTCTCAATGCCCGTTACGAAGATTTCTTCAGAGGGGTAGAGGCATCTTTTCATGCTCAGAAGAGCTGATCATCAATAGAGTTTTCTTTTCAGCATCAGAGTGGCTTTCTGGGTTCACCGGTTGGCATTGTTCTCCCACCCTCTGTTTCTTAGCATGGTTGGGTGCATCTTTGGAGGCAGTATCATCCAGCAGGCTTTTTTCTTTGGTTAATTTAAAAAGCAATGAAAAAGATTTTAGAACCTATTTTCAGTTTTTTGCAGCACCCTCTCCCAAGAGTATGCTCCTTTCCTCGAATTAGTTACAGGCAGAAATAGATTCTCCAGACTTAGCTTCTGCCTGGATCTCTTTGATCACTCTTGAGAGACCTCTCTGTTGGCTGCACAATTACGGGCCAAATGCAAAGATGTAGTGTTGAGTTATATACCCAAACCAGTTCTGAATATTAACTATGCTACTTTTATGAAGGTCTTGACATTTGCATTTTACATATAGCAAATTCAAAGAGACAAATGGCAAATTCAAAGTTCTTCATTCTGATTGCTATCAACTCCAATTAAAAAATAAATAAATAAATAAATAATTGTTGCAAATCATTACCTATTCCCAATTCCGTCGATTCAATATAATGTAAAGGCTCTCTTGTCCTTCTTTTTTTCTTTTCTTCTTCATTGTTATAAGGAATAAACAGCTGCAAAATGTACCAAAAATGTACACAAATAAGGGAGATAATTAAGAAGAATAGGGCCGGTAAAGTGAACAAGAAAAAAACAGAATATTAATATTCAAGTCAAGAACAAACAAACTCAAATCAAATTCCAAATTATATAGTCTTTGGAAAATCTATTATCAGAAAAGAAAAAATAGTTTAAAAAGAGGTTGTTTCTCCACATCATCTCCAAAATTTAGTATCGATTCGATCGATTTAACCACTAAACCCAAAACCCTAAAATATCAGTGCAAAAAATTTCGAAGCAATGCATAATAATCAACGAAAATATAGTACTGATATAATCTAAGGGGAATTAAAAAGTAGCAAAGTGGGTATACCTTAATAGATCTGTAGCTTGTAGATCTTGAAGTAGAGAGCTGCCGCCACCGAAATCACAGAAAGGAAGAGACGATAGTCGCCTGCTAACAAGTTCGATTTCTTGCCCTATAATGCGAACCGGAATGGGCTTGGAGCCTGGCCTTAAAACTTTAAATAAATTAAAGACTTCAGATCTATTTGGCCCAAAAGGAAATCCACTTATAAATTATTTTTAATTATTTTAAATCCACTCGGAAATCTTTTTAATTTTTAATTTTAAATCCACTTTTTTTAAACAAAAATAAAAAGACAATGTCCCCACATTTATAATATCAAGACGTGGAGTCATAAATACAAATACAAGATATGTGAGACATATCTGTCATATGAATGTTTTTTTAATAAAAAGATAATTTGGTTTTTTAATTAATTAATTAATTAATTTACTTCATAATGCTTTTTGAATTTTTATTTAAATTAGATTTAAGGTCGATTTATGAAATAAAGAGCACAATTATTTTAGAGGATGCAATATTTTGAATGGCAAGATAGTTACAAGATGAGTGAGATATAAAAGCATCTACAATTTACCAAATACCACATCATCATTATTAATGTTATTTTATTTAATCTACACAAATATTGCCTTAAGTGAGACTCTCTACTTTAATACTGGCACCCGGCCATGGTTATGACTACACAAACTTGCTTTAAGATGCATAGTTATATAGTAAAATTTGATTGATTTTATTAATTTATAATTCGTAAAAGTATTATATATAAATTATTTTAAAATATTAAGTAATAAATATTAACTATTTAATAAATTAATAATTAACAATTATAATATCAATTATTTATCATAATCAAATTTTATATATATATATATATATGAGATCAGATAAAGTGATTGGCTTTCAAGTAAAATGTAAAAAGATAAGGAGACTAAAGGATATATATATATATATATATATATATTGAAAAAAGAGACTAAAGGATATTTTAGTTTTGTTTGATACATGTAGATATACCTTTTTAAGCAGTATTAGCAATAAGAGTGTTCTTAAGCTAATTTTCTGGCATGTTAAGATTTTTTTTTTAGATAATTATAAAGACACACTTTACACTAATTTTTAACAGAATATATTTTATTTTTTTAAGTGCTGATGTAAGACACACCAAGAGTGTTTTGATGGATTTAACGTCTCTCAAAATAGAAGAGTCTAAAAGTTTCAAACCAAAGCCTAGTAATCGATAAAAAAAAAAATGATCCAGATAATTTGAAAAAACATAGAGGATACATGCAAATAAATTTCAAAAGGCAAGTTCCTTATTTTAACCAATATAGCAAAATTGTACCAACAACAGCAGCTTGGCTAAGTTGGCAATTATGAAACCCAGATTTGAAATCAAGGTCAGCATCTCACTTTTGATGTAACAAGAAGAAAAACCAATATCAAAATTCCAGTTTACCACAAATGCTTTACCCTTCCAGCTGATAAGTATTCCACATCATGTGAATATGAGGGAGACACTCACACGGCATATCTATAAGTAACGTAGGTATCAGCCGTTGCACTCTCTCGAATAATCCTCATGACTTGTCCACGCTTCAATCCATAATACTTTGCAACTGGATCGTTGACAAGGATACGTGGTAACTGACTCCCAAAGAACAAACAAACATAAAAAGAAATAGAAAATTAGGGCCTCGAGGGATTAACAAAGCTAATCATACGGAAATACATGTTACCCAGATGAATGATACTTGAACATACTACATCATGTTATATAGACTGCTTATGATGACCTTGAGCAAAAGGTTCAGAGAAAATGACATGATCCTTATGATCACTGGCCACCCAAAAGCCTGAATGCAATGAACATATTATTTGTTGCATAATGTTCCTATTGTTTGTTGTGTAATAGTCTCACCAGTTAACACTCCATGGATTTACCAAAGAACTTGAATTGACCCCAATATACAATACGATAACTCAATCTTCTCCAAGATGTCTACCATTTTGGAAGCAATTGCCAAATAAAGCAAGAACAAGAGATGCAGTCAAAGTATCATACTTAAGAAATCATCTAGTGATTCATGGCAGTTTCTCAAATTCTTCTTGGTATGTAGAAATTTTGGAATCTGATTTAAAATGCAGCTAAAAAACCTTTTCTCATTCATTTTACAGTGTAAATCGTGAAAAACAATGCACGTATGTAAAAATTTACCAACACGAATATATACAAAATACATATAATGCAAGTACAATAAACTGGGCTTATGAAATCTGAAAGCACTTACATATAGATCTTAAAAGTAACAAGCACAAATCTTAAGTTATATGTCATAACTAACCTGTGTTTCCTTTATCCTGTAATCAGCAAGTAATTTCTTCTTTTCTTCACTTGTCAACACTGCATGTTTAGGAACAAATATGTGTTCTGTAATATTGGATAACAACTCTGCCTCCTGCATAAATGTTACATTACCATCAATCTTTTGTCACTAACACCAGTCAAAAATAACAGACAGATTAACTTTAGAATTGTTGTGAAAATTATTTATAAAATTATCACTCATTATGATACAGGAAACTAAAATGATTCATAAACCAAACAGCCTATGGCATGGAGCTCATTTTCATGTTAAGCATCAAGGAATCCATAATAATAACTGGGTCCATCATGTGAACTTTGAAGAATCCTTGTATTTGAGGAGTTATATCTTAAGCTAAGTGATGAAATATTGCATTCTTTTTGTACTTCTGGATAAACTGAAATCTTAAAAATTGAACAAGAGGACTCTCAAAGGCCAAAATGGAGAAAAAAGAACTTTGAATTTAGGATTTAAAATTGAATAACCATCTTCAAAAGGAACTGATAAAATTAAATTAAGTAGGCATGCAGATGAGGGAACAAAATCAATGAGAACTATCTTAAAGGTTCATTGAAACACAATATATATATATATATATATATATATGCAAATATGCAATAAAAGCAAATGGCAAAAGTATAGACTTTCGTACTAACAGGATTAATGACTAAATAGCATTATTTAAGCTCCTAATATTGTTTCCCACTTGTGAGACAAAATTATATTCACTCTTATTGACAAATTATACAACAGTGGTACAGAAGCATGTAACAGATCTTACAAGTTACAAGGGTTAGAGAACTCTATAACCAAAGGTTTAACATAACAAATTAAACAATGCACACTTTGCTAAGTTCAAACAACCTAAACATCTCAGCAGTGACAAAAATAAAATTAATATTCACCTCAAAAACTTCTAGACCAAAATTGGTATTAACTTCAACTATAGCTCCTTTTGCTGGTGCTGTTAGAGGCTTTTGTACAACCAAAATTGCATTGAAAGCATTCTTGTCTTTCATTTTTCCAACATAACTTCTTACCACTGGGACACCAACCTTTGGTCCATCAGGAAAGAAAACACAGATCTGGTGAATAAAAAACATAGTTATCAGAAAAACATTAAGTGGTAAACATATCGTATGAAAACATTTGACACAATACTCCACTTTTTTTTTTCTCTCCTAAAACCCATTCCCCTTTCATTGTTCAGAAGATTGAATTAAGTTGAAGGATAAGCCACTTGCAAAAGCAGCTTTAAAATTCAGCTTAAGATACCAGAAAGATGATAAAGTTTCTTTCCTAAAATTCAAACTAAATCAATTCTGTTGATAGCCTATAAATGGATAGAAGCACACTTGCCCAAGGATCTACAGCCTTTGAGAATCCTTGGATACGTTTTACAAATCTCTAGAAATATAGGTATTCATATATATTTATTCACCATTTTATTTCCATTTTTTGTTATGCAGTGGTAAAAATCTTTCAAAAATCACTTCATTCTTTAGGTAAACAAGAACAAGAAGAAAGCACAGTTAGCTGAGGACAGGTATGAGAGCAAACAAAGGGACATTTATATATATAAGATTTTATTAAGGGCTTTTTACTAATCACTATAACACTGAAAGTAAAAATAACTGAGTATGAATGGATCAAAATGGGGGTATCTGGATTCTGATAAAGAATTCCAAACTTACCATATATTTATTAAAAACCTTTATCAGGCATCATCATTCCGCATGAAAATTTGTTTCAACTCTGTTACTAGAATGACATGAAAAAACCTTGTACAGGACCCTCAAGCTTTGCCTCATTGCAAACATGCATCAAATCTTTCCAGTTTAATGAAAATACTTTGGTTTCAATGGAAACAAAATAATCTTAGAAAACAGGTGAAGAAAAAGAAGATCTCTAGACAGTGCTTAAAGCAAGATATTAGTTTGCCACATACTCAGTTGAATTAACATGCCAGACTGCACTCCTAAAGAAAAATGTACACAGTCCTTTTTTTCATCCCAACTTATTATATTAGTGGATAATTAGGAATTTCGTGACAGAGTTGTGCTTATTCTCTGACATTGTTTACCATTGTAAAGCGTCATGACAACCTTATTTAATAGGGACGAGTGCTAAAACACAAATTTAACTTCCAAAGCAACAGAGAAAATCTCTATGCATCTCAATTTGATAAACCCATCAATTCTTAAAAGGAATGATAAGGAACTGAAATTAAATTAACCCTTTAGCACTAGCACTAGTGCATCTCAGACCCTACTTTACCAATGTAACACTTGCGAACAAAGTATATAACTAACAAAATACTCTGATAAACAAACCTGATTATATGGACCATCTCCTTTGCTTGATTCAATTAAAAGATCCTCCCTTTTCAACTGCCCATTTACCACAAATCTCTCAACAAATTGTTGCCTTGACATTTTGATTTCTGCATCCTCTACCGAATAACCCCGATCCCTCAGCATTTGCAATGCTGTTCTTCGTGCTTTGAAAGCCTTTGTGATTTGTTCATCAACCTCAGACATATTTTTTCCTTTTAAGGGTTTCCTATAACCTGATTACAAGGTTAGGTTGCTAACTTTACATATCAACTCCAATTCAATCCCATTCTAGACATCGTAATCTCCAAAAACCCAATTCAAGTTCTTCATATATAATCATGTAATACTCAGATTATTAAACCAACATAAATTACACATATTACAATGACCCATTTTCTTCTATGATAGTAAAAAACAAATCAATCACTCCAATTCAATCACTCCAATTCCATCACATTCATAGACATCATAATCTCAAAAAAAAAAACCAAGTCAAGTTCTTCACATATGATCATGCAATACCTTGATAATTAATCCAACATGAATCATACAAATACAATGACCCATTTTCTATGATGGTGAAAAACAGATCAATCAAGTAACCGAACAAAACTGATACAAAGTGAACATTACGATGAGAATGAAGCTCATAAAATCTCTCTTGTAGACTTACCTGAAGCTAAAGAAGATTGAACGATAAATTTTTTTAAGAAAAAAGGGAAGAAGAAGAAGAAGAAAGAAACAGAAAGAGGTCTGAAGTCCCGACTACACCCAGAGAGAAACGGCGTAGGGGTTTTTTAGGGGTTTAGGTCCAGACGTGGCCGTTTTCGTCCTTTAGAATTTATTTTTCATTTCAGGACTACGGTCCTGTTTGGAATTTTTGAGTGCGATTCTTCCTTTTTATAAAATAATATAATATAATATAATATAATGTATATATTTTTTTTTCAAAAAGCAGCGTGTATCAAGTATCAACCGCAAGGCTTGAATCCATAAGCAAGACTGTCTTATTATTATTATATTTTTTTAGAAGTAAGATTGATAAATGTTATTTTATAAATTATATTTAGAATTTAAAAAATAGAGTAGTATTTAATAAAATTAATTTTTTAATATATCAGGACAATATAAGACAAAAAATAAAAATTCATGAAATTATTTTTTTAATAAAAAATAAGTGATTTATATATACATAAAAACTCATAAACTTAACGAACCGGTTTTTGAATTCAAAATAATATCCTCACATGTTAGACTTTACTTAAATGTTATAAACAAATTTCTCAACCAAACAACAAGAGTAGTGCTCTACACTCCTCAACAATGGTATTAGATTGGGCAACAGCAGTGGGTTCAATGCTGTGAGAGTGATGAGTGCCTCCACTTTTCTTGGGTGTTAAGAAGTAGACTCCTCCACCTAATTGGAGTGTTGAGATGAGTATGTATCTTAAGTGCACATGAGAGAGTGAGGTGTCAAAATGTGTGAGATTCCTTCACTTGAAGATAATGCACAAATCTGAGAATGTGTTACTCTCATTGGAGAGCTGTGCAGATCTCAACTAGAGTGTCCTCTTTCTACAAACAAAAGTGCATTAGCACAAGATGTTGAAGACTCACAAGTAAATAATAGACATTATTGGGTGTTCACATATTATTAAATAGAATCTAATATCATAAATAAAGAATAAAAAGTAAGTAACTTTTATATATATATATATATATTTTTTTTTTTTTGACAAGGGTAATAATTAGGAAGTTAGTAGAGTTAGTTGTTAGCAACTGGGATTTCCCAGACTGGTGAACATTCAACCCCCTCATAAGAGGCGTGCAACCATTAGGTCGCAAGTTAGTGGAGTTCACAACGGTGGCAGGGTTCAAAGCCCTAACCTCCGTCTCACCCAAACCCTAAGGCTTGGGGGCCAACCACTGGGCCTCAGGCCCGGTAGACAAGTAACTTATATATTAAACCATTGCTTCAGTATTATTATTTACTTAATAACTTAACCCAACAAAGGTGATAGTGTCTTGCACTCCCTCAATAATTTCATGCTAACTGTGGAAAATTCTTTTGAACAAAATAGTGAAACACCTTTTTTTTTTTTCTTTTTCTTTTGCAATCACTGAAACACTTGCAAGAATAGAAAAAGGAGAAGGGTTCAGTCAGTGCAGCAGAAAAGACACACTGCCACATTATGCTCTATACATTTTTTTATATAAATTTTTAATGGTTTTTGGATATTTTTTAAAAAGATATTGTTATTTTTTTATCAAATTATTTATTTATTTGGGTATTTTTTGTGATTATAATATTTTATAATTTTAATTATTATAACATTAGAATAATAATAACTGAAATCATAATTTAAGATTAAAATTTAAAATTACCATAGCATAACTCATGTTATTTAAAACATTAAAAAATAAATTTTATATTATTAAATCTTTTGGTTTGAATTTAGCCCAGCTTTGTAATTATTTGATTGTTATTTTTAATTTGTTAATTGTTATTTTATTAATTAATAATTAAAACTTGGGCCAAATTTGTTATTGGGCCATTTATGTGTCAATTTCTATTTGAGTCCACCTTTTTTGGTGGACCCATCATGCCTTGCAGGCTCAAAATATTTTCACAAAAGTCTTTCGGTTTTCCAGCCTAAAATCACAGGGTTTTAAAGCTTTGGACACACTAACCGCTAAATTAAGCTTCTGGATTTTCACGGTGCCAATTCAGTAACGAAATGCTACCTGTAGATGACAGATTGCTTTTTCATTTTGCTGCAACGTATCTTCTAAAAGTTTGTATTTAATCTGATAATTTCACTTGCATTTATTCTGTAGAATCTACCTAAGCGGGGCAGGAAAATGTGTCTGATTGGGAAACTGTGTTTTTTAATCATACATTGATCTGGCTTTGGCTGGCCAGGATTTGGCATTAACAAATGTCGGAAAGAGTACAGAGCAGCAGGAAAGAAAAAATAAGGGCAGTGGCGGAGTCAGAAAATATTTTTAAGGGGGTAAAATAAAATTTTGACTAAAAAAAAAAGGTGATTTTGCATGTTAATTTGAAAATTAAAATGAAAATGTTTTAAAAAATATTTTTTAGCCTTTAGCTATAAATTAATAGTAGCTGATAATGTAATATAAAAATTATTAGTTAAAAGATAAAATTAAACATAGATTAAGTAAAATAATATATATTATAAACAAAGAAAATGAAGTAAAGATGTTAATGAACAAACACATTATAAAAAAATAATAATACACCATTTTTATTCAAATAATTTTTACTTTTTCTCATATTTTATATTATCTTTATTTTCTCCATCTTTCTCTTTATCATTAAACTAACCTTCAACAACATGAATATTAAAAAAGGTTAAAATGGTATGAAATAAGAAAGGATAAAAATGATTAAAAAAAGACAAAAGGGATCAAACTAAAATTTCTAAAAAAGTTTAGGGGGGGCCTGTGACCCCTCACCTCAGGTCCCCCCTTGGCTCCTCCGGTGGATGAGGGTCCTGTCCTA